CTTTAACTACCCTGTTCGATATCCTATATTTTGGGCAGATGCTAAAACACACATATCTATGCAGAAACTCTTACATAGAGAATCCAGTCACAAATCACTGCTTCATGCCAAGTCTAATTTATAAAACACTGGAGAAAAAGTATATGTAAAATTGGTTTAAAATGATGGTAATCTGTGATTACAGCCAAATCTTTGAATTGTGTTAAAATTAATAATTCATTGCAACGGTGTGATAAATACAAAAAACTGTATTAACACCTTGTAGCTCATTTCCACCTTTAAAGAGGTATTTTTAAAATAAATACATACTGCATGCCAGCAATGTACACTGAGTGTAATTGAAGCAGGCATATGCAGCTGATGTGTATGAACACAGAATTTATTTTTTGTCAGCTTTCCTCTTCATATCCGCATGGAAATTTCTGCCTCTGGGCTGTACAAAAAATGTGTGTATACCCCCCCCCCCCTCTGAACAGTGTATTGTGTGTAAAGGCAGAGCTGGTGTATACTGATCATGTTACAATGGGCGACAGGGAGAAGGGCAGCCGATTACAGTCTGACACCTTGGTGTTAGACTAATATTCCCATGGAGGACATTTTGAATTTTTAGGCTTCAGGCCTAATAAAACCTTCATTAAAAAAAAGAAAGAAGAAAGCCTGCAATGTGAGTTATGAAAATGTGCAAAAATGTATACATCATCACGGCACCTCTTGATTACCACAATAAATGCTAACCACTTACAAAAGGTGGAAATGGACAACCTACTTTTTTCTGGATACCATCTAATGTCTCATCACAGGGGTTCTTAACCTTTTTACAATTACAGCAATTGATTATCCAACATGTCCCCATAACTCCTTTTGCAAACTGTAGATTTCATAATCACCGGCCCTTATAGGTACCAGTACGACTTGAGATGTTGTTAAGAACTTGGTTCTCTTTTACATATGAATAGCTAGGAACAGAACAGTTAAAAGATAACCATATCATGTTAGATAAAAACTGCAAAATCACAAATATAGAAGCTAGCTACCAATAGTGAGATTTCTTCTATTTTGTTCAATCCCAGTATTTAAGGTAGATGCTGGCACAATATCACTTAGGGTCACATAACAGCATTTGAAATAGAGGGGCCGTGTAAATCAACTTGGTCTGATTTATTAAAGAAGTTGAGTCTTCATAGAATAAATTGTGTAAATATTCACTTCAATTATCCAATCTTATAAAAAGCAAATTACTGTTCACTTTGAATATTCAATCACATGCAATAAAATCAGTAAACAGGAACTTGCTTTTCACATAATTGAATATCCACACGACGTATTGTGTGAAGATTCTCAACTTCGTTAGTAAATCAGCCACGCTCTGTTATACTGGCATTGTAAATTTACTTATCCTTTGATATTTTAATGTATATTTATTAATTGCTATATGGTAAATATGTTAATGCATGATAAGAACATTAACCACTTCCCGGCCGGCCGTTGTAAAAAAAACGTCCGCCGGGAACTTCCTGGATCTGAGCGGGCGTCTTCAGACGTCCTGCCCCGCCCCCCGATCAGGTGCGCTCCCAGCGTGATCACGGCCCGGCAACTGTGCCAGCACTGTCCATTGGACAGTGCTGTTTCTATAACAAGGTATAGAGCCAGTAAAATCGGCTCTATACCTTGCGATCTAGCTGTGACAAATCACAGCTGTCACAAATGTAAACAGAGGCTGCAGTTTGTAGCCTTGTCTCTATCTCCTCTCTCACACACCGTTGGGTTGTGAGAGAGAGGAGAGAGAGAACTTCAAAGATCAGCCAAAGTAAGAATTTAAAGTGATACACACTGATATACTCTGATACACTGTTACACAGTACATTCACAGTCTTATCAGTGTGATTCATAAGTCAGTCGGTGTCATCAGCACGATTCAGTGTCAGTGCGTTTCAGTGTCGTCAGTGCCATCAGCACAATTCACAGTGTCGGTGCGTTTCAGTGTCGGCCGTGCCAGTCACGGGGGAGTCAGCAAGTCTAAGGAATATACATTGGGGTGTCTGCTTTCCAAAATGGGGTCATTTTGTGAGATGTTCTATTGTCCGGGCACTCCAGGGTCTCCACAAATGTAACAGGTAGACAGGAAATCAGATGATTAATTTATGCCCCTTGAAACCCTCATGGTGCTCCTTGGATGTTTGGCCCCTCCATGCGGCTAGGGTGTGAAAAGGTCTCATATGTATGGTATCCCCATACTCGGAAGGAGTAGCCGAATGTGTTTTGGGGTGTAATTCTGAGTATACCTATACTGTGTATAAGAAATATCTTATTAACTGACAACTTTGAGAGAAAAAAATAAATAAATAAATCTTAATTTTTTGATAGCTTGTGCAAAAAAATTACATCTTTAAAACACCGAGCATGCATCTTATCAAATACTTTGGGTGTTTGCTTTACAAAATGGGGTCATTTTGTGGGTGTTTCTACTGTCCTGGTATTTTAGGGTCTCAAGAAATGTGATAGGCAGTCAGGGCTTTTTTTTTTTTAAATTTCGGTAATTTTTCCTTAATATAGTAAAAAAATAAAACCCCCAGTGGTGATTAAATACCACCAAAAGAAAGCTCTATCTGTCCCCAAAAAAGGGTATAAAATTCATTTCAGTACAGCGTTGCATGACAGAATAAATGTCAGTCAAAGTACCGCAGCGCTGAATACTGAAAAATGGCCTGGCCAGGAAGGGGGTGTAAACACCTGGTCTTGAAGTGGTTAAAGGGTGACCACTATTAAGGATGCTAGGAAGATAAGCCAAAAATATTGAAATGTTGTATTTATTGAATATATTTGATACAATTAAAAAAAATATTAAATGAAATCCAAATCAGTGAGTATGCTAGGATAATTACATTTAAATATAGGCCAAATATCTATAGTGTGGAGGAAAACAGTAGTTAATGTACTAAAGTCCAGTTATAAAAAGGGGCAAATAATAGCTGCGCATTTTACCTTTGCTTTAAAGCCCACTAATGAGGGCATGTTGGGTCAAGTGTGCACAGCAGAGAACTGAGCTGCAGTGCTGAGTAACCAGCAAATGGAAAAGATTCAAGAGTGACTGTTACACAAAAAACTTTGCTTGTATCCAAATAGCAGGTTGTCTGTGAAGGTTCTCATTCATTCCAGGTCATGGCATATCTGTAAAAAATAAGTCAAAGCAATTGGACTTGCTGTATTTTTCTTGAAAACGTCTTCAAGAAAAATACAGCAAGTCCAGTTGCTTTGACTTATTTTTTACATATACAAATAGCAGGTTGCTTTAGTAATGTATTTTTAGTTGAGGAATTCTATTGGTCTTCCATACACTGCATGTTTGAGACCTCCCAGCTTGTTTTCAACAAAACTTTATATATGTGAGGGCCATTCTATATTTTGCACAACTGCAATATTTCATTTCTTGTAACAGTTCACAAATGATTTTAACAAGTGTTTTGGACTAATGACTTGTTGGAATACTCAATCTTATTCAACTTCCGTTTCTGTACTTACTGTGTGGCAAGAGCCAACAAGGTTAGCTTAAACTTAGAATATATATTTGCAGAACATTATCTGTGCCACCAGCTGCCAAAGTTCCAAAATCCATTTACACTACCTATGCTTATTAGATGGCAAGGTGTTATTTTCTTCCTGAAAACACCTTTGGCTGTTTTAGTTAAACTTTATTTTAGTTTCATCAGACCTTTGTTCTTGATTGCAAAATACATGTGGCTCATCCAAGTTGTCTGCTTTAGACATTTTGTGAAGAGATTACATGTAATAGGTTCATGCAGATCATTTATGCATGTGAAGCTTCCCACTGTATTTGTAACAAATGTTTGCCAAGTTGTGTGCCTTGACATGACCGACTTTGTACAACCGCTCAGTTTACATCTTTCTTGACTTTCATATTCACAGGTAATATTTTCCTTCTAAAGCCCCTTCCATGTAGGTCACATTTCTGCAAGTAAAGCTTCACACTGGATTGGTTTGCAATAACGTTATCCCAGGTCCTGTCCAGTACTTTGCTTTATGTTGTCCTGGATTGTTCACTTCTCCTAACCCTTCACCCTTTTATGAATAGCCCTGTTAGTTTCCTGCAGAATCAGCTGGTCCCCTGAGCAGTGGTCCCGACTTCCTGTTTTAGGGTGGTTCCCTTCTCAAGCTGAATGCTATGCAGTCACCCTTGTGTGTGCTAGTAAGCTGTGTGTGTCTCCACAAACACAGCAAATCAAGCTACTCTTCTACCCCCTGGTCCCCTCTCCTTCTTCCTCAAAGATAGTAGATGAACAGTTGACGGAGTCTGCACTGTCCTTTGTGATCTTCTACTGGACAGGGAGTTCAGGGAAGCTGAGCTGAGAGACTTGTAAGCAGCTGTTCAGAAACATGATGATTGTAAGCATTTGGGCAAAAAAGTAAATTTTGGCAATGTAGATTTGTTTGATCTGGATTCATTATTGAAAAAAGTTTGAGTGTTTAATACTACTTTAAAGACTCAAACATAGGGATATATATTTTTTTCATTTTAACCAGATATACACTAGATCTCACTAGAACCCACTTTACTGCTTTAGAATTCTTGAAGTGGATTGCTTGGCATTAACGTTTACATATGAATATAAGGAAGGCAATGTATTAACCTACAACACTATAAGAAATATAAAACTAGTATTTATTTTTCATGTCATAACTCAGTTATCTTTGAATGCTTTTCTGCAACTGCATTAAAACATACAAAAGCAAAACAATAAAGACCAGTAAATACAAGAATTACTAACAGCTTGCATGTACTAGCATTGTGGATGTAGTTCCCTCTCCTACTTTTTTCAGGCTATGGTGAAAACACTCATACTTAACAAGGCAATGGTAATGAGGAATGCACTGAAAGTCATGGCAAGTCCTAAATCGATTGGCTGTAGAAAATTATTGTAAAGCGCTCACTGCTCTTTTAACTAACCTATCAAAGTAACCTCACAGTTGAGTTTTTTGTCAAGCAATACTAAGGAATGGAAGCCCAGAAGTAACGCATGAACACATCAGTAGCTTAATATTCATTAAAAATCTGTTCTAGATCTTCCATTTCCTCAGACTGTGTGCTCACGGGTGCACTTGATGAACTGGAAGTTATCTGACTTGGAGGGGTTGCTTGCGAGCTATCCACAGATGCTTGCTCTTTCTTGATCTCCTGACCACCAGTAAGGAGCTTCTGACTTTCTATGAAGTATTGATTTGGATGGTTCAGTGAAAAGCCACAATCATCCACCTGTTTGGAAAAATTAAGATTTTTAATGACTAGAACAGTGCAGGATTTAGGTGAATGACAGTCATTTAAACTTGCTTAAGACTCCAGAAAACCTGCTTTATCAATATGTTTTTTAAGTATGGGTCGCAGACCTGTTTGGTGTGTATCATGGCCCACCATCACTGGGCCCTGCAAAGTTTACATGTCCATGAAATGGGCAGAGGGACAGTATACAGACAAGTGCAGTGGCATGTAGAGCCGCAAGCACCTGGTATAAGAGAGGCCAAAGGTGAAACCTGGTGAAAGGGATGGAAAAGGGAAAGAGTGATCAGTGGGTGGAGAAGTGTGGCTGATGCAGTGATGGGCAGTAAACAAGGCATGTAGGTGGTGCAGAGGTGAGTGATGGACAAGGTTTGCAAGGGGTGTAAAGGTGAGTAGTGGACGAAGTGTGCAGAGGTGAGCCGTGGATGAGGTATGCAGCTGCTGCAGAAGAATGTGGTGGAAGACTTATGCAGCTGGTGCAGAGGGGAGTGGTGGACAAAGTTTTCAGGGAGCAGTACACGAGGTACGTAGGTGGTGATGGGGTGAACAGAGGAAGGAAAGGTGAAGAAAGGTGAGACGTTTGCTTAAAGGGGCATTTTTGCTGGAGGAAAGGGTTAGCTCTCGATCTTTTTTTTGTATGCAGAAAATCATACATTTAAACCTCAGCACAATCATTTGTTAAAAAAATGAAAATTGTACAATGATGCTTGTTGCGCAGTAATAAAATCATATTTTGTGGGTGCAAGGACTATAGCACATGTGAGTGGGCTCAGATTTTAATAAACTATGCCCCTTTAAGCCTCTCCTATTTTTAGTGCTTAAAGGGGCATAGGTTATTAGAATCTGAGCCCACTCACCGCATATAAAACATTTGCTATCATGTGCTAAGTGCATTACTGTTCTCCTTGAAATGCCCAGGAGTGCCCCAGATCTTTCACAATCTTACTGGAAAGATGCTCAGGAATCTGTTCTCTGTTTTGAATTATAATTGTTTTATTTTAAAATATTTTAGCTTTTTACTTTACTGCTTTACAAATAAGACAATAAAATAAGAACTATACTTGAATGGAGACCTATACAATTAACATTTTTGCTTTTTAAAATATTAAAATTTGTCCATTGTTGGTTTTTTTTTTTCTGCTTTGTTGACATTTTGGTAAGAATTGTTTTCTAGGGTTCCACAATTAGAATGAGCAATACCTCCAGGAAAATACAATTAACTCCTACGTTTACAGCTGAATGGAAACTGTTAAGTTGGCTACTGCATTTGGAATTAAAAAAACAGCACAACGCTTTGTAAAGGGTGTGCAGTCTCTTATAGTAGCTACAGCCTCTTAGAAAGAGCAGACAATGTCTATGTGAACAGCCTTTAAAATTACAGAGCTCTATTAACCTCTTCATACGCCTTTATATCCAACTTAAATTTCAGATGGCCGGGTCTTCATATTGACTGTACATACTTCTTATGGACACATTTGAAAGGACAGGACATCCAATGCCAAGGAACAGCAGTCATAATGGATGAGGGAAGTTGTTTGATGATATATACTATCTGCATTGCTGGATTGGTCATCTAGCATTGTCCTAATCTTTGCCAAACAGATGTTGACTACATTATCCCCCAAATAACCCCAACAGCAGTATCACTTGCTTTACATGATGGCAGTGTAAGAAGTCAAGACATAATCATGTGTATATTCAATATATGTAGATGATTTATTTTCATGAGCGAAGATAAAAAATTAAGCAACCAATGAATAACTGTATTAAAGGCTCTTACATATCACATAATCGTATCACATAAATGACTCCGTAGGTCTCAGTGATTATAATGCTTGTTACAGATAATATCTCTCCTTTGCTTGATTTTCTTTACATTTTATTCACTGTGACCTTTTCAAGCAGCAGTCTCACATTTCAGACTGAGCAAATGTGGTTTAACAGCAATTAATGGTCTAATGCAACACTTAGGACTTGCTTTTGGGTATAAATGGTTTGGAGAACACGGATGATAGTGAAACCGTTCATGTTACAAAAATTACAATCCACAATGCTTTGTGGTTACCGGTGTCAAGAACTGGATGATGTGGTTTCACATTTAGAGGGCATTCATTTGAAATTCATGGTAATTACTTTTTTTCATCTAGGTTATTTGATAAGAGTTAGTTATTGTGTCTGACCAGTTCCAAAGACTTGAAGGGTATATATACCGTTTAAAAACTCTAACAATTAACTTCTTTTATTTGGTCCCTTTTTCTAAATATACCACTGAAAGAATTGTGTTAAAACCCCCTGTTAATCCTGCCAAAAACTTTGTACGCCAATAACTTCCTGGGGTCCATTCTTATACGGACTGGTAAGTTGCAAAGTAATAGGATTATTGTACTTACCATAAAATCTGTTTCTTGGTGTTTATTAAGGGACACAGGATCAGTAGTTATCCTGTTATGAATGGGTTGTACTGCCACCTATAGAAGGATTTGGACACTAGCTAGCAAAAAAAAAGCTGTAGCCAGCCAGGTATAACCCCTTCAACTCCCAGCATGCTTCAGGTTTTTTTGTTTTTTGTTTAGAAAAGCAGGACTTAGGAGTAGATCACAAACAGAGGATTGGGACCTATGTCCCTTAATGAACTTCAAGAAATTGATTTTATATTAAGTTCATGAAGAGGCATCAGGCAACTGTTTCCCATATTTTTACCAGGTGGATGGTCTTTACACGTTAAAGCCCTCCGCTTACACGCACGTCTTTTAGAGGTGATAACACCAAGGAATGCAACCATGTGAAAGTGAAAAGGTCAATATCTCGAAATGCTTCAAAAGGTAGATTTAGATCCCACTGAGTGACAGGAGAAGCCGCGTGAGAGGCACCCTGTTAGAAAGTCTTTAAAAAAGAAAGAATAAGAGGCCAGCAGTCTTTGGAATAAGATGGTACTTTGGGCAAAATGTTGATCTAAACCAAAATCGTAAAAAGGTTAGAATTTGCCCAACAGAGTATTTTCTGTGGTGAAACTTTTTCCTTGCACAAAGTGAAGTAAGCTTTTCATATCTGATGTAGACCTTACATGAGGTATACTTCCTAACTTTTAAAAACTTAGAGACCCCGTGTTTCCAGACCTGGGCTTCAACAGTCATGCAAATGAAGCCAGCAATCACGAAGCCGGGTGGTAAACCGGACCTTGTGATAGGAGATCTGGTCAACCTGGAAGAGCCCACAGGGTGTCTGCCAGAAGACTCATTAGGTCAGAGTACCCCATTCGCCTGAGCCAGGCTGGAGTGCCTTCCATCTCAATCCTGCAGAGTAGACAAGGAAAGAGTTTCAGGGGTGGAAAGGCAGAGACCAGGCTGTCCTGATCCCAATGAGTAACTAGGGCTTCTATTGCTTCTGCCAGAGGATATCTTCATCTAAAAACAAACCTGTCCACTTTGGTGTTCAATATGGAGGCCAGGAGGTCCACATCAGGCACCCCGCACCTGTGACGCAGGTCCTGAAATACATCTGGGTGTAGAGACCAGTCCCTCAGGCCCAGGCACAGTTGGCAGAGGTAGTCTGCCTGCCAACTGTTCACACCTGGAATGTTAACTTTGAACAAGGCTGGAAAGTTGAGCTCTGTTCAGGCTAGAATCTTTTCTATTGCTCTTGCCGCAAGAAGACTTCTGGTTACTACATGATGATTGACGTATGCCACGGCGTGATATTGTTAACTAGATCCTGATTGGATCACCCTTCAGGTGAGGATGCTATCATTGCAACGACAATTAAATTGAAGAGAAGTGTCAGTTCCATCACTCACTTCTGAAGGTTTAGAATCGACTCAAATTTTTTAGAGTCTGGAATGTCTTTAGCACATTGACTGTCAGAATGGAGCGGACTATTTCCTCAATAGGAGGTTGACTACGTATCCTACAATGGGAATACCCTGGGAGCGTAGTAAGACTAGAACGGGGGCCAAAACCTTAGTGAACACTCAAGGTGCAGATAATTGGTAGGGCTACAAACTGGTAGTGTTTTGTGCCTGCAGAAGAGTGGATGTAGTATTGATGCGCTGTAAAAATGAGGACATACAACTATGCATCCGTAATGTTCACTAAGGCCAGAAAGTCTCCTTGTTGAAGGGAGGCTATGACAAATTTTTCGGATTACATGCAAAACTTTTGGTCTCAAATACATTTTAGGACTTCAGATCCATAATGGGGCATAAAGTGTAGAATGGAAGTCTGCTAATTTTTCTGAGAAAAGGGTAGGTTGGATAGCATGAGGCGGGGCAAAGGCAGAGAATGGAACTATAACATGTAGCCACCGTGGACACAAGTGCTTTTACCCAGACATTCAAGATGCTTTTTGACCAGATGTCTGCAAAAGCAACAGGGGTTGCTTTTGTCTCTTGATGGTGAAGAGGACTTGCAGATACAGTATGTTTCCCTGGATAAGGAAAAAGAAGGGGCCACAAGTGTAGGCATTATTGGAGTCTCCGAGGAGTGAGCTGACTAGGCAATTTATGTCAGGACCTTAGAATGGACACTGCAGAGCGCCCAGAACAGTTAACAGATTGTGAGCTGAATTGACCAGGTGCTGCGGGACTGCTCTCCTTGTGCTTGGGATCCAACATGTTAAACTGTATTAACAGGAACAACTGAATAGGAAACCAAGTAAAAACCTTGGTTTACGCACAACCAACTGCTTAAGCAGAAGAGGTTAATGGATGGAGGTGACCAGATCAGTGTGTGCAACTGCAAAGACTAGCCGCATGGCACTGGCAGATAGGAGCTATGGAGGAAAACAGGTGGCAACAGAGCAGAAAGTGTATGTGATGGACACTCAGACTAAAAATGCAGCATGTCAATTTCTAACATGTCAACTATTTCGGTGGAATAGGTGATTAATGGTGGCTTTTAACCATACCAATTAGAGTAGTAGCTTACGCTGCTCAGCTAAAATGGTGTACTCAATTGAGAGTTTTCAAAGAATGGGTCACACCAGGAACTGTGCCATGGCTCTGAAACTTGAAAGTGCTCTGTGGCTAATACAGAGAAAAAATGTCTACCCCCCTATTACACTAGCAAAAAAACTAAAGCATGCTGGAAATGGGAGGGATAATACCTGGCTGGCCAACAGCTTCTTTGTCATTGTCTAAATCCTCCTGTAGGGTACAGTATAACCCAGTAATACTAGAGTATCTACTGATCCTGTATCACTTAATGAGTGATAAATAAATTCAATTCTTTAACTTTCTTGAATTTAGAAGGGCTTTAAGGGCGAGTTACTGTGGCTTTAAATTTTAAGAGACTTCCACACTTTACACAACTGTTCAAATAGATTTTTTCCTCCCACAAAGGCAGTGCTTTAAATTCCATAGTTTGGACAATTCAAACTGAAAAACCCCTTGCAACCAACCACCCTCCAGAAAAAAAAGGAAAGAAAAATAAACACAGGCTTACATTGTGTGTCAGCTCAAAATATTTCTGGCATGCCAGCTGGTAATGCATTCCTTTAACAAGGTCCAATATCTAAAGCAAAAAAGGAAAGAAAAAGGAGTTAAAATATTAATCTGATTGCATAATACAACGGATACAGAAATACAATTCTGAAATACAATTTTGCAGTTATACCTGCAAACTTATTTGTAAAGTTCTGTTACTCATGTAGTTCACATATACTAAGCTCACTTTTTAGCTAGGAGGGTAATACAGTGGTTTACTAAAATTCTACAGTTTCCTTTGTCACCTGCCTGTTCATTTACCTAGAAATAGGTATTATCACAATGCTGAGGTCCTCCCTTCCTAAAGTATGCTTCTGCAATCACCCATTCTCACTTTCATCAGAGCCTAGACCCCTATTTTTTTTTTTGCTTTGTGAAAAATAATCTGCGTGTGCAGATATCCGAAAATCACAATCTAGACACTATTTACGAAAACAAATATTGCATAGAAATCAGACATAGTAACATTTCAGCTAGGTTGGCACAGCTGTACAAAGAACAAAGTTCAATTTTTAACATATGTTAAGATGACAACCCTTTAAAAATACAATTTGCTCCTTATTTCTTTATGTAATCTCTTCAGAGTTGAATGCTCTCTAATTCTTATCAAGCAAATGCAATGCTGGTTGACCTTTATTGCATATAGCCAACATCGCTTGCTAAGTCCGCTACAACACTAAAAAGAAGTCCATTGCCAGCTTATCAAAACACAGGAAATTGCTGCTATGAAGAGATAATCTCTACACAAGTACACAATTGAAGAAAGGTGACATTTACCCCTCCTTTCAAGAGTCAGGTTTTCCATGTCAGACACAGCAATTGAGTCAGCCTCAAATCCTTGCTGTCCACAATATTAGATACCGCCTTACCGTTACTGAAGATTGAAGATATAAATTGCATTTGCTGAAAGGATTACACCATAGGAAACCAACAGTAACTGTCATTTTTTTCTGTTACATCAAAACAGATTATTTTTCTGTGCCTTGTTAGCCATATTCATACTACATTCCAGCAATGTACAAGTATTCCTTCGTTGCTCTACATATACAGTAACATGACACCATTTTTTTAAAACCGTTGTCCACTCAGGCTTTTTTACAACTTTGCAAATTCCATACCTATTGAGACTTCTGGGATAGCTTAGCACGTTAGCATGTTAAAATCAACTCTGGCATCTAGCTGCTGGGCAGCAGAAGTGCTTTATCTTGTTAAGATTTCCCCAAACCAATAACTATGACAAAGAACATCATTAAAAGGCATCAAACATTTTTGTTCTACTTTGTTAGAAACGGATGCATTGCAGTACACAGTTGTGTTGCCACCAGCACCTCTGGTCAAATAACAATTTTAGCTTATTTGGAAAGTGAAAGTTTAATGCACAGTACATTGCCTCACAGGATGATCACTGCACATCCGAAATGCAGTTTAGTGTTACAGCACTTCCTCACCTGCAGTAGCACGTACAAGAGGTAGATTCACAGGGGACAGTTGTCACCAAAGACCTTTGTGATGCTAATCAAAATGTTCAAAAAGATAAGGTTTGACGTGTACCTGAACTCAAAGAGCAAATATTTGCTATAGAGAACATCTAGAAATGCTAACTGTGTCAAAGCACTACCCTGAATATTAACATTTTGTCTTGAATTTCCACTTGGAAAAATAGCTTGTGCCTTGTTATTGTTGGAGGGGAAGTGGTACCAGAGAGCCTGCAGTGCAAGTATTCCCCTACTTCATTCATTTTGTGGATGTATGCTTTCTGCACCTCTCCTGCTGTTTTCGAATATTGCCCCACAGTCATTAGGGGACAGCTATCTTGATTATCCCACTAGTCTCGCCTCTACTGAGACTGCCCGCTCCACAGGGACGTGGTGTAGAGCAAGGGCATAATGAATCCGTAATTTAAGAAAGATCAGCTGCAGGGAGCCTAAAGGAAGCACCGGAGACTAGTTATTTACCCTCTACTTGCCTTTTCTGGACACAGCTTCCACAGTTCAGGCACTGTAAGTAACATCTGTACAATTTTAATATAGTAGCTATTCTATCAAATCTACTTTCTTGGTATGTTTGCCCAAACTGCTTAAAAAGGCTATATTTTAAACCCCAAAATATATCTTTTATTAATGAAAATTCCTATCTGAATATGCTGCTGTTATATATTGAGACAATGCATCGAGGTCAAGAAGCTATTTACTCATATTAAAATCCAAGGGCAAAACAGTATAAGCAAAAGAGATCAGTATAAGAATCAACATGCTTTCATTTTACTGCTGTTGTAATTTATCACTCTTCACTACCAAAGGAACCTTCTTGTTATAGAAATTTTATTTCTGAAAATAAACTGGGAAGAGTTGCATCATTCAGTAGTTATTTACTAGCTTTGAAGCACACTAGGTAACAATCATCTCTGGAAATTTCAAATATGAGATTTGTTCAGTTAAAATATGAAATATTACACAACAGAGGAGGGGTATGATAGTTACATAGTTGTTGAGGTTGAATAAAGACATAGGTCTATAGAGTTCAACCTACAGAAAGTGAGCCTGTGTGTGCGAGTTACTAACTTCTAACCATTTTAGTTACAAGACCTGTCTGTATTACAGGCGGCGCCTACACAGGGTCAAAACTTCACACTGGATTATTGCACAGATCTGGAAGAAAAAGCACTTAATATTTCAGTAAGAATACATGTCTCTCGTATTTAACCCTTTCCCTGCCAAGCCCTCGGGAACATTTTTCAATTCAGCTGGCCAAGCCATTTTTGCACTTTTTCCCATTGATTTGATTTTCAACTGCTGCGTTGCTAGCGTTTGTAAAAGACCCCCCAAACCATATATTTTCTGAAAGCGCAGGCCCGGTAGAATAAAAAGATGGTGATACTAAATTTGTAGGCCCTGCGATAATTGCACAAATGTTTCTCAAATTAATATTAAACCGATAAAAATACACAATTCAATTGATAAAACACACTAAAATCAGTATCCGTGCACACAAAAAGAAATATTTTCTGACTAAATCGAAAAGATAAAACTGTATTGAGTTAATAAGTAACAAATATTTGCACATTTGAAATTGCGCCATTTTGCGAAAAGGTAAAAAAATGAAGGTACGCAAAACTGTAAAAAAGCGACTTATGTTAAAAATTGTTTTTACGCGGTGTTTGTGTTGTGATAAAACGATACAGGCGTATATTTAATTGCAACACAAGGTATCACAACGCACAGCAATGCGTCACAAAGCTTTGCCACAGTTAAATTTAATGTTTTTATTAAAAGGGAAAAAAAAGAAAACAAATCATGCACTGCGATGCGTTCAAATCATGCACTGCGATGCGATAGAGTAAACAGTGCAATGCGTCATTACAACACATTTTACACCAGCATAAACGCAAGCTGCTGGTGTGAAAGGGCCTTTAAGAAAGCAATCTAAAAAAAGAACACACCATACAACTCTCAAACAGGTGATTAAAACCCTAGACTGATATACAGGCATCACTTGCACTTAATAACATCCGTGTTCATGGGTCTAACAAGCAAGGTGGAGGAAGTGAAACTGTGGGGCCCCTGTGCCATCAAAGACCTAGGATAACTAGCAGTTAGTAAGTTACCAATGAACTTCAAGTGATATCAGTAAATGTTACAGCAGACAATATTGTGTTTGTTAATTAAATAGGACTTTTATTGTTTACTATTATGACAAATAAAAACGATCAAACCAATGTTTAGAAGCAAATCATGCAGAAATCCAGAAAACTCCTAAAGATCCACAACTGTGCCTATCTTCTAACACACAAACTGAATTTGCAGTTTAATTTGCACATAATGTGCTAGAGCTAAATGCAATTAATCACGTTAGTGGCTGCCAAGCTGATATCAGATCATTGAAGGGAAGACATGCCAATCCCAGATGGTCTTCCCTGCGGCACACTGCACCAGACTTTAATTAGATGTAAAGTTGGTGCCTCTTTCACATGAGGCTATTCTTTCAACATAAGCCAGAAGAAACATGCCTCCCCAATGACTTCAAAAACATGAATGGTTAGGAAGAGTTGTGCCTTACCTCCACTGGTATGAAATTCACAACTGTAGCACACAAATTACTAAATTATGGTAATATCAACAAAGTGCCTGCATGCAGTTAAAAGAAACTGAGCAAGAAATAGATTATGGACTCAACAGTAATGCTCTGGGCTTTCATGGTTTTTCATTATATTTAAACACAAGAGTAACTTTTTAATCAACAGATACAAGTTTAGGACAATTATTAACAAAAACATACTTTGAATTATAAACACACAAAGTGAAACCAAGCTGTTTTACTATGCAATTCAAACTGTAAGAAAAAAGGGGAGAAAATATTTCTAAATATGTTTTGGCCACTTTACCGATTCACATGACCTGTGCCACAGCACAACAACAAGTGGCCTTATATGAGACAGAGATTTCAAGAAGGTATCTTGAATACTAGAAAGCTGCTGCAACCTCTCAATTCTCTTCCGATCTCTTGCGGAACTGAGACTTTCTTCTTAGAAAATGCTCATGTCACATTACTCTGATTGCAGAGACACACAGTACAGTAATGGAATGTATGTGGCTTTTTACTAGAAAGCCAATAAACTTTACAAGAAAAATGGGGACCTTAAAAAGGAAAACCATAATGCTTTTTATAGTCAAGATGATTCTAGTTTTTAAGCTTATACGTTTATAAAAAGACATTTAATATTATTCAATTTTTTTTTAAACATATAAAGCATAATGTTGGAAGCAGGAGCAGAAACCCACAATATGGAGCAGAATGTCAAGAAAGGACAGTGCTGGGCTGCCTATTATTAAAGCCAAAAGTTAGCTGTGCTTGGCTGCTCCTGCAGACTAAACATTGACATGGTCATCTCTACAAGAGAGAAGGGGGGAGTAATTCCTCTGAGTCAGGCTGTGTATGTGGAGCTGGAGGCCAGAGTTTGCCTAGCCCTGACTTATAGAAAGAAAAACAATTAGGTAGTTGTATTTAGGCAAGGTAAGCATTATGCACCATTTGTATATAGGTTAATACTTGTATGATGAGCAATGTACAACCAAAAGAACTGTGTAGAGGATAAATACACTCCTAAATACAACAGTACGTGTTGTGTAAGAGGCCTTAAATAGGGTCTTGGCATACTGCTATAGAATTTCTTACAAGAAACTCCGAAGTAAGCAATTCCATGCTACAAAAGACGGCAAGTAAGCAATTCTAACCTACAAAAGAGTGCATGTAAGCAATGCCATGCCGCAACTGACTACAAGGAAGTAATGTCTTGCTACAAGAACTTTATCATAAGATATCATATGATTAAACAGCTAGAACATTCCTATTAGTGGGACAAGGCCATCCACTTCTAGCTATAGCTTTTTTGGGTACAGAACAGCGTCTCTATTAGAGTAGAACTGAAGCCAGAATTTTTTTTTTTTTAGTTTTGGATAGAGTAAAGGAGAGTTATAACCCGTCAGCTTCTTTTTTTTGGCACCTGTGTCTCATTGCGGTGACTTCCCTCTACTTTTTTCACCTATGGCCACAGGTGAGCGGAAATCCTCCAAAGAGAAGGAAATCCCTGGCGGTCAGCATGGTCATCAGAACAAGAATCCCCATTGGAAGATGTTTCCATCTATTCCTGTTCTGATGAGAACCCAAAACTGGGGTTTTTCTTTCACTTATAACAGTCATCAGGACAAACAGCGGGAGTGAGTCTCCCTAACATGGGCACAGAGCGCAAGCAAAACTTGAGAAAAATGTTTTGGCTTCAGTTGCACTTTATATGCTTTTCATGATGTACATATGTAACTATCATACATCCAAAATGCTTCTACAAATTAAGCCAAAAATATTAACCCATATCATATAATTTTTCTAGAATATGAGAATGAAAAACAGCAAGAAGTGTATTCAGGTAAATATCTAATTATCACAGTGCCTAAAATGTATATCAACATGTATTGCATGTTAAAGGAGATACACAACTTTTTTTTAACTGAATGCGTAATGTGTACATACTTGAGTTATCCCTGTAGACGAAACTTTGAAAGATTGTAACTTCTGCTTTAACAATTCAGGGTCACTGTGTCTAAAAGGACAACCTTGAGAAAGGAAAGGAAAGGGAAACAAAAGTGGTTTGTTTAACATTTGAAGGAAACAATATACAGCAATACTTACTAAACTGACTAAATTACTCCTAATTGCATACAAGTCTGATGATGATAAAGGGAAAGTTAATTCTTCATACTGGAGACTGTTGTATTGGGGTTTTTTCCTCCAAATATGTATTTTATGGTTATTAGAGCATTGCAGATTAAAAATTTACAGGGAGCATTATAGAAGAAACAAGACATTTTGCTTCCTGGGAAGAAAACAACCTAATTAAAAACAAAGACATGCAACCTAAGTACAGTTCTATTTAGTAAGCACAGAAAAAAAGATAATGTTGGTATTTCTGGACTTACCAAATTGAAAAAAACAGCCTACTCTACCACTTCATTGGTCTGGAGTCCTCAGTACTGCGCCTGAACTAAATGAAAGTTTAAGCTTGAGTTCTTTCTTTGTAAGTATGTCTAAGATTTTATTAAATTTTTTTTTTTTACTATAATGGAGCCGTGTCCACTAGTAGGTGGTTATCCCCATGCTAGGCCTCTTGCATTGTAAGCAACCACTTTGTAATGGGTAGACGCATTCATCCTAGGTGCTGGAAAAGACCATTTTTTGCATATATATTATTGTAAATAACTCTCTAAAGTTGCTTAAAGTATTTTGGGATTCCTGCTAACGTAGACTTTAAAGTGAATGCATTATTTATACCATAATTTAACAGCATGCATTGTGGGTTGATACTGGATCGGTTGTATGTACATGTGTATATAAAGTATAACCTTGGTCAGTGTATAAAGATACAGTTTACTGTAGCAGACTTCAACGTGTACATTATTCTTTTTGCAGCAGTTTCACTGCTGACTTTTAAATCTAGTTTTGATGGTCAGGAGACTTGGGCAATGCTGGCCACAGTAAAAGAGTAATGTTCAGCTGGCCAAGCCATTTTTGAATTTTCTGCCACTTTTTCCCATTGATTTGATTTTCAACTGCTGCGTTGCTAGCGTTTGTAAAAGACCCCCCAAACCATATATTTTCTGAAAGCGCAGGCCCGGTAGAATAAAAAGATGGTGATACTAAATTTGTAGGCCCTGCGATAATTGCACAAATGTTTCTCAAATTAATATTAAACCGATAAAAATACACAATTCAATTGATAAAACACACTAAAATCAGTATCCGTGCACACAAAAAGAAATATTTTCTGACTAAATCGAAAAGATAAAACTGTATTGAGTTAATAAGTAACAAATATTTGCACATTTGAAATTGCGCCATTTTGCGAAAAGGTAAAAAAATGAAGGTACGCAAAACTGTAAAAAAGCGACTTATGTTAAAAATTGTTTTTACGCGGTGTTTGTGTTGTGATAAAACGATACAGGCGTATATTTAATTGCAACACAAGGTATCACAACGCACAGCAATGCGTCACAAAGCTTTGCCACAGTAAAATTTAATGTTTTTATTAAAAGGGAAAAAAAAGAAAACAAATCATGCACTGCGATGCGTTCAAATCATGCACTGCGATGCGATAGAGTAAACAGTGCAATGCGTCATTACAACACATTTTACACCAGCATAAACGCAAGCTGCTGGTGTGAAAGGGCCTTTAAGAAAGCAATCTAAAAAAAGAACACACCATACAACTCTCAAACAGGTGATTAAAACCCTAGACTGATATACAGGCATCACTTGCACTTAATAACATCCGTGTTCATGGGTCTAACAAGCAAGGTGGAGGAAGTGAAACTGTGGGGCCCCTGTGCCATCAAAGACCTAGGATAACTAGCAGTTAGTAAGTTACCAATGAACTTCAAGTGATATCAGTAAATGTTACAGCAGACAATATTGTGTTTGTTAATTAAATAGGACTTTTATTGTTTACTATTATGACAAATAAAAACGATCAAACCAATGTTTAGAAGCAAATCATGCAGAAATCCAGAAAACTCCTAAAGATCCACAACTGTGCCTATCTTCTAACACACAAACTGAATTTGCAGTTTAATTTGCACATAATGTGCTAGAGCTAAATGCAATTAATCACGTTAGTGGCTGCCAAGCTGATATCAGATCATTGAAGGGAAGACATGCCAATCCCAGATGGTCTTCCCTGCGGCACACTGCACCAGACTTTAATTAGATGTAAAGTTGGTGCCTCTTTCACATGAGGCTATTCTTTCAACATAAGCCAGAAGAAACATGCCTCCCCAATGACTTCAAAAACATGAATGGTTAGGAAGAGTTGTGCCTTACCTCCACTGGTATGAAATTCACAACTGTAGCACACAAATTACTAAATTATGGTAATATCAACAAAGTGCCTGCATGCAGTTAAAAGAAACTGAGCAAGAAATAGATTATGGACTCAACAGTAATGCTCTGGGCTTTCATGGTTTTTCATTATATTTAAACACAAGAGTAACTTTTTAATCAACAGATACAAGTTTAGGACAATTATTAACAAAAACATACTTTGAATTATAAACACACAAAGTGAAACCAAGCTGTTTTACTATGCAATTCAAACTGTAAGAAAAAAGGGGAGAAAATATTTCTAAATATGTTTTGGCCACTTTACCGATTCACATGACCTGTGCCACAGCACAACAACAAGTGGCCTTATATGAGACAGAGATTTCAAGAAGGTATCTTGAATACTAGAAAGCTGCTGCAACCTCTCAATTCTCTTCCGATCTCTTGCGGAACTGAGACTTTCTTCTTAGAAAATGCTCATGTCACATTACTCTGATTGCAGAGACACACAGTACAGTAATGGAATGTATGTGGCTTTTTACTAGAAAGCCAATAAACTTTACAAGAAAAATGGGGACCTTAAAAAGGAAAACCATAATGCTTTTTATAGTCAAGATGATTCTAGTTTTTAAGCTTATACGTTTATAAAAAGACATTTAATATTATTCAATTTTTTTTTAAACATATAAAGCATAATGTTGGAAGCAGGAGCAGAAACCCACAATATGGAGCAGAATGTCAAGAAAGGACAGTGCTGGGCTGCCTATTATTAAAGCCAAAAGTTAGCTGTGCTTGGCTGCTCCTGCAGACTAAACATTGACATGGTCATCTCTACAAGAGAGAAGGGGGGAGTAATTCCTCTGAGTCAGGCTGTGTATGTGGAGCTGGAGGCCAGAGTTTGCCTAGCCCTGACTTATAGAAAGAAAAACAATTAGGTAGTTGTATTTAGGCAAGGTAAGCATTATGCACCATTTGTATATAGGTTAATACTTGTATGATGAGCAATGTACAACCAAAAGAACTGTGTAGAGGATAAATACACTCCTAAATACAACAGTACGTGTTGTGTAAGAGGCCTTAAATAGGGTCTTGGCATACTGCTATAGAATTTCTTACAAGAAACTCCGAAGTAAGCAATTCCATGCTACAAAAGACGGCAAGTAAGCAATTCTAACCTACAAAAGAGTGCATGTAAGCAATGCCATGCCGCAACTGACTACAAGGAAGTAATGTCTTGCTACAAGAACTTTATCATAAGATATCATATGATTAAACAGCTAGAACATTCCTATTAGTGGGACAAGGCCATCCACTTCTAGCTATAGCTTTTTTGGGTACAGAACAGCGTCTCTATTAGAGTAGAACTGAAGCCAGAATTTTTTTTTTTTAGTTTTGGATAGAGTAAAGGAGAGTTATAACCCGTCAGCTTCTTTTTTTTGGCACCTGTGTCTCATTGCGGTGACTTCCCTCTACTTTTTTCACCTATGGCCACAGGTGAGCGGAAATCCTCCAAAGAGAAGGAAATCCCTGGCGGTCAGCATGGTCATCAGAACAAGAATCCCCATTGGAAGATGTTTCCATCTATTCCTGTTCTGATGAGAACCCAAAACTGGGGTTTTTCTTTCACTTATAACAGTCATCAGGACAAACAGCGGGAGTGAGTCTCCCTAACATGGGCACAGAGCGCAAGCAAAACTTGAGAAAAATGTTTTGGCTTCAGTTGCACTTTATATGCTTTTCATGATGTACATATGTAACTATCATACATCCAAAATGCTTCTACAAATTAAGCCAAAAATATTAACCCATATCATATAATTTTTCTAGAATATGAGAATGAAAAACAGCAAGAAGTGTATTCAGGTAAATATCTAATTATCACAGTGCCTAAAATGTATATCAACATGTATTGCATGTTAAAGGAGATACACAACTTTTTTTTAACTGAATGCGTAATGTGTACATACTTGAGTTATCCCTGTAGACGAAACTTTGAAAGATTGTAACTTCTGCTTTAACAATTCAGGGTCACTGTGTCTAAAAGGACAACCTTGAGAAAGGAAAGGAAAGGGAAACAAAAGTGGTTTGTTTAACATTTGAAGGAAACAATATACAGCAATACTTACTAAACTGACTAAATTACTCCTAATTGCATACAAGTCTGATGATGATAAAGGGAAAGTTAATTCTTCATACTGGAGACTGTTGTATTGGGGTTTTTTCCTCCAAATATGTATTTTATGGTTATTAGAGCATTGCAGATTAAAAATTTACAGGGAGCATTATAGAAGAAACAAGACATTTTGCTTCCTGGGAAGAAAACAACCTAATTAAAAACAAAGACATGCAACCTAAGTACAGTTCTATTTAGTAAGCACAGAAAAAAAGATAATGTTGGTATTTCTGGACTTACCAAATTGAAAAAAACAGCCTACTCTACCACTTCATTGGTCTGGAGTCCTCAGTACTGCGCCTGAACTAAATGAAAGTTTAAGCTTGAGTTCTTTCTTTGTAAGTATGTCTAAGATTTTATAAAATTTTTTTTTTTTACTATAATGGAGCCGTGTCCACTAGTAGGTGGTTATCCCCATGCTAGGCCTCTTGCATTGTAAGCAACCACTTTGTAATGGGTAGACGCATTCATCCTAGGTGCTGGAAAAGACCATTTTTTGCATATATATTATTGTAAATAACTCTCTATTTTGTATGTATTTCTAAGATTTTATAAAATTTTTTTTTTTT